AAATTTGGAAGTCTTCTGGGCATCTCTACTTTACCGACGACATAAACAATAGCAGAATAAACAGGCCTGGGAATACACAGTTATCAACGAATCCACTGTGTCATTTAGGGGTGGAGTCGTCATCCGTCTTCATAGGACCAGCCTACACAGAGCCTCCCTTGTCAGGGGACTTACTGAGTAGGATGGACTGCCAGTCTTATTGACAACTGTATGAAAAATAGGAAAGAACTTTCTGAACAACTTATCCTCTGGAAACTGAATAATGAGCAGTGGGTATCAAAACAGAATCGGAGTTATAAAACGGTATTGAAATGGAGAGATAAGAAGGACACTATTATGTTGTTGTGCACATACAGCTGTTTTCTCCTTGATTGCCTAGAGCTCAGAGGTGCTTGACGAACGTATAGCTCATATATAACGAGTATGTGAAGGAAACCTCTTTACCGAAGATGCTTGAAAATCGTCAACCTCTAATTTCGTTGGAAAGAGGTGTTGCAAGTGTTCGAAAAATTAGAGATCATTTGTGGTATATTACAAGACCCTTACAGAGCAACACTATCGGAAATGTGCTGCTGTGGGTGCTGGAATGGTTCGCACCAGATGTCCCCATTGTATGAAACATGACTGCTCAGAATGTTTCAATAGACGGTATGCAATCTGTACATCATCGTTGGCGTTCCTCTGTGTGAAGATTTTTTATTGAAGCGAAAAATTGTCTGTTTTAAATAAAAATTGTAACTGCTTCCGGGTATGTAAGAGGTCTCTGACTTACTTACCTCGATTCTAACTCTCGGCAAGAATTGCAGGGTGTTATTCTTATAACGGCTACTGTTTTTAGTTATAACATATATGCATACAAAAAGGATGAAGCTCTCGGCGTTGATCAATCCCTGAGGGATGCGTCATGCACTCGACTTCACTAAGCATCGTTTGGAGGTGATTGAATGCATACCAGGCCTTTACAATGACTTGTGGTGGCCTACCGATGTATCGAGCCAGTGCTGCTTCCGACCCAGACAAGTCTGGTGCCAACTCGCAGATCTTGGAGGGATGGAAGGCTTAGTGGTCCATGGGCGCCGGGATCTATTCCACGTATGTGTTGCAGGGCGCCTCCGACCACTGCACCACATTCGCCCTTTAAATATACATATGTGTATATATATATATACCGGGTACACTAATAAATAAATGAATCTTAACAGCACGTCATGTTTTTGAAATAAATAAATGTTGGGTGAAATCGTCGTTTAACTTGGTAACTATTTCGAAGGACAAAGGGTATTTCATTCGATTGTTTGGGCTCGTGTGACCACTAATTCACTCTGAAGAAGTTTTTTCACTGAGTTTTCGTCTTACCAGAGCGAAAAGCTCTCCCTGAGCGTTGAATTCCACTTTTTAAGCAGAGCCATTTCTGCGCGTCCTTCTGACTGTACTTTTGCCACTCACTCCTCAACAGCAATAGCCTCTCCACGCAGAACGAACTCGTTCAAAAGAGCTTCATTGCAGTTTACTAGGTATGAAGGAAAGCTTTCTATAATCCACTGCCAACATGGAATATATATTTGACAAGCTATTGATAGAATACAATAATTGCCGTGAGAGACTTCTACAGACCGCTGAATAGGTATGTCCTCTTCTCTGTACAATCGACTTCAACCTGTTAGATATAACAGAGACATCTCTGTACTTTCCTCACTACCCACCTGTGTAGTAGATTCTCTTTGCGAGCAGTTCTGTTTCGCAGCATAACTAACTCGTCGCAAACCTTTTTGTAAATTATTAAATCTGGGATATAGGTCCTCTCGGATAATGTCTGATACGAACATCTGCATTGGATAAGCCGTTCATTTAGTGCAAAAATACAACGAAACAATTCGATGCTACAACCAAAATGATGCTGAGATATGAGGAAAATTCGAGACTCAGGTGACAACTGAAACTGCCATTACTCATTCCTGGGGTTCACACGCTATCCACTTCATCACCAAGGCCCTTGCTTTGTCTTTTTGTTCTATTTTGTTTTTTTGTTCTAACGGTTCTTTCAGAAATCAGCCATCAGCGGGAATGGTCTGCGAAGCAGAAACCGGTAATAAACCCAGTTAAGCTGAAGCTGAAATTGAAGTCACACCGTTTAACTTCTATTTACGCCCTTTTTTCATGACAGAGCATTATGCGAAATGCAACCAAAATTTTGGCGAGATGTGGGGAGAATTCTTTCTTTCTAAAGAATGTGTGGTTGAGAAATTATTGAGTCCTATATGAATCGTACTTTCCATTTTGTCTTGAAAGCACATGCTTTGCTTATGGAAGAGCTCTTGATGGTGCTATCACTATGGTTTTTGTAATTATTACCAAATCATTTTCCTTTCAATTTCCTTGCCTCAAATCGGAGTTACAGGTGCGAGTTGACTTTTCATGCGGTCTAGAAAAAGTACAGGATTTTTTTTCGACAGTCCAAGAATATTGTGGTGCGACGGCCAGGGCACGACATTCACGAGAACGGATCTATCCAAAGGCGTCGACAAGCTATCCTTGCGTTTGACTCTTCCGGTATCAAAGCTTCGGTTCTTATATCAGTGTGCTTGAGAAGGACTACATAAATATTCCAAATATTATCTTCTCCACTGATTATTTATCTTGTTATCGTTCTATTTTTTCCAAACACTTATGGATTTATAAGTTTATTTTTTCGCAATAAGCAGAGACAACGTTGCTTATACAATGCCTATTTCACAATGCCTGTTTTGGGTGACGCCACCTTCAGATCCCGGATAGGCTCACCTTAGTACGTAAAACATTCGCCGAAATGCTTTCATTATTCTAACGGAAAGGAAGAACCTCTAGTTCTATATTTCCTTCACATCGACTCCACAAGAAATCTTTGTTGATTTCTAAAACCTAATGCTGAACCGCAGGGAGGGATTATTTGTACACGCCCGACTTTACCCCATAACTCAGGCTGCTTTTTTCTGTCTGAGGCAAGCTGCAGTAGAAGCAACGAAAATAGCTGCATTGCGGGAAACCTCTAACCACCACCTAAACATGAACCCCTCGTTACTTGGTATTTACTTCTAGGATTTATGCTTTGTTATTGGATTAGATCACTTTTGAAGTCTGTATGGTAGACTTTGAAAGTAATCTAATTTGAAGTACTATAGTTATAGACGACTAACTTTACGTGCAATTTCATAAGCGATACATGCATGTTACGAAACAGTCCCGTTTTGGCACGCATTTGTCGGAATCTATGGCTTTGTTCTCACTGATCTAAACATTACATACTTTTTAAACGATGCTATAAGATTATGAAGACACATTTCCACTTTGTATGGAAGATCGATCCACGACTAAATCCTTCTAGCTTTATATTCAGCATCAATTTTACCAAGACGAGGTTCTTTAGAAAGTAGTTCTTTTTGAGAACAAAGGAGTGCCAATAAACTTTTTCATCAGTGCTACACATCTAACCGTTGAGAAGCCGCCTCCGCAATTCTTTTCCAAGAGTCATTGACATTCTCATTAATTGTGTCGAATTTTTCCCCGTAGAATTCCATGTGTAGATACTGATGAACAGAAAATTAGCTAATTTCTATCCTCATACTCATTCGAGGAATTCAGAAACTGGAAGCAATCAACTATCTGCAACTTGTCGTGTAGTCCATAAAGTCATGGCTGGAGTCCTTTCTCAGGTTCAAAGAAACCCACAGCAAACGCCTTGTGAAAATCTTGCTTTCTATGATTTCTAAAGTTGTAGAACTAATAAGTCTCGAAAAGCAATACGAAAAAACAAATACATGTGAAAATACAGCCGCTGTTTCTTCATAGCTCTGGATTTCACGCACCCTGTTCACTTGAGTAGGCGTCAGTAGAACCAAAATAACTCGAAAACAAAAAACAATCAGAGTTTCAGTGCTCCGTTCTGAGGATTATTGTGAACATTAGTCACTTTTATCCACTGTAAACCAGCTATTGAACGTTAAATCAAGAGAACACCAATGAATACACTGAACCCGTAATGCGTGTGAACGACCACCGATAGACAAAAGCAGGCTGTGATTGCATTTGTCGGGATGTCAAACGTACTGCAGGAAGACCACTGACCCAATGGTCACAGTTCTTCGCAAAATCGTAAAAGAAAGATATGACGCTCAACTAGTCCCTAGATAGAGCAGAACCCACTGGACTACTCTTGCATGCAACAATGAGAAATGGAAGATTTACTGGAGCCCACTCGAGTCACTCGACGATCAATAGACGACAAGTGATAGTGATAGAGGTGAATAACGGTATGGTAGTACTGAAACCGTACAAGCGATGAGATAAAAATAGGGTAAATAAATGAGGATAAGGTAATAGGCAAGAAGTTATCTTGAGATGAAACAGTAGGTGCACCATAGGCTATTGGGCTGCTTATATTTATGGAGAGCCTAGTCACTGAGGTCTACAGTGTGAGATAAACCGAGTAGTGTGAAGACCAAAGCCGTCTTTAGGCGAATGAGATGTGAACGTACAAATAAACTACATGTCTCTCAATCACTGCGGTGATACGTGGTGATAAGCCTAGACAGTTAATAAGGTTAGTGGGTACAAAAGGGGTTTCCTACAACGAAGTACGTGCGGTAGAGTGATTTCATGACGAAAGGAGAACGGAGACCGACGTGCGAACCTCACTGGTTGACCGAAGTCCTTTTATATTACGGCTGTTAACCTCTAGGTCTTCCCACACATCGCTGTTGTGCGACGAGTGCTTTGTATACAGGGGTAGACACGCTATTGTTGTTGTTGTTTCAGCAAGTGCTTTGGTGTCTAGAAAATTACGTGCTCCAATTGTAATCCAAACGGCGGGAAGAAGCAGTTACAAAAGTCTGGCTTGCGAGTGCGACAATTGTGAATGTCCCTTAGTTCCTCCTTCTAGTGATTTAGAGTTCCTATTGTGGAGATGCTTATTGTTGCTACAATCTGGTGTTTACTTATTGTTTAGCGTCGTATTGATGAGAAGTATGGTTCGTGGACCTCCGGTGACGAGGTCGCGGAGGAGACGGGATTCGTCTGTTGCAGATCTAGCAATACTTGAAAGCCTGGATGGTCTACTAACACGTTTCACAATGACTGGCGACGAAGAAAGGTTTGAAGACCCTATTTTAATCTTTTTCTGATGTTGGAGCATCCGCGTTCTATGGTCGTTCTATGGTCTATGAATATCCGCATGTCGTTTCAACGATAAGGTTTTCTTGTAGTCGCAGTGATATCGTGGCTCTTGTACAAGCTTATAACTGGACGAAATCTATTTTGACTGTCATTGACTGGTCAAAGAGGTCGTCAACTGTTATGCGATTTCTATGCAAAATCTCGCATAATCTAGTTGATTTTGTCCTATCTGGTTCGTGTTTTTTTAGATTTCGTACGATTTTTACCTATCCATTCTGATCATACTCGTTACCACATGCATCACTTCTTGTTTTAGACAACTGTTCTTCATCACTTGACACTTTAACTCCAACGATAACCGCCAGTAGTTCGGAACTCTATGCATTTCTTAGTAATTTGTCTGATGGTGAAGTGAAGTATTCCGGTGCTTCTTTATGGTTGGCATACGCAAAGTTGTTTGTGTACACTGCTGGGACTGAGGTTAGTAGTACTATACTTCTACTTGGATACTTACTTTGTTACTCGGATAGCCCATCTTCATTAGTTGTGCGGACCCAAGCATAATTTCCATTGCTTCGGAGTTTTGCTGGCTTACTCTTTGTGGTTCTCTGGAGTTCCGAGATCAGCCAGGCCAAAGTCTACCCCAGGTCCTCACCACCACAGGCAGTTGCCAGCCTTGTGGATCAAAGGGAGATCTGCCACCATGCAACTAGTTTGATACCAGTACTGTGGTGGATCATGGTGTTGGTTTACTTTTAGCTGGGTTTTCTAATAGAAACGCCGGAGTGCTCAGCTTGGTAGACCCTACTGGTGGGATGAATCCTTCTGCTGTATATCGCAGCCAGATACCCAAGAACACGTACCAGCCATGATGAGGCGGTAAACTGTAGAGAGGGCTATACTTACGTAGATGCTTGGACGGGCCGTCCTCGCTGGTTGTGCGAGCTCTAGCAAATTCTCCATTTTTTGGAGTTTTGCTGGTTTAGCTATTGTGGTTCCCTGGAGACCCGGGATCGGCCAGACCGAAGTATGCCTCAGGTCGTTACCACCCCAGGCAGTCGCCATCCTTGTGGGTTAGAAGAAGATTTGCCACCATGAGACTAGTTTGATACCATGACGGTGGTGGATCCGGGTACTAGTTCACTCTTAACTCGGCTTCCTTGTAGAAACGTCGGACTCCTTTTGAACTTGTGAGACACTGCTGGGGATGAATTCCGCCGCTGCACATCGCAGCCCGGCGCCCAAAAACATCTCCCACCCACGATGAGGCAGTAAACGGTTTGGAGGACTGCACTTCTACATAAAGCAAAACTAAAGAATTATATTTTGTCTCCGACCAATGCCTACTCGAGCAAATGTGGAACTTTATCCATTCGTTGGTTTTGCACATTGTAAGCCCGTTGTGTTTGCATTTCTTATCGATTGTGATCTGTCTAATAAGTTGTAATTACATGTACTTGTATACTTCAGATATCCACTACAGAATGGACCAACTTATTCTCTCCAGTAAGGAAATGGCTCCAAAGTTTTGATGGCGAAAGCCTTCTGTTTTGCCTTCGTGTGTGGTATTACTTTATCAACTTCATCACACCGAAATCGGCTGCTGGTTTGTTTATTCTGGAATGACTACGTCTTCCACCTTTTACCAAAATTCTCCATTCAGTCATTTTGGAAAACAAAAAGTTCGATTCGCTCTTATATCCTATGCGTTCTAAAACGGTTATTAACAAGTTATTGGATCCGTCACCCATTATAAAGGCATATGTGTCTTTACTCTCTGTATATTCTACGAGCATTCATGACTTGTTTGAAGAGGTTAATAACTTACTAAACTTACCATTTTGTACTAAACATTTCACCTGAGGAATTGTAACACTGTCATCTTAGTTGATCATCTGTTTTCTGCGATTCCTGGTTGCTAGACCTGTGTGTGTGATTCGTCACTTTCCGAGTGTTGAGGACGAGGTTATAAAGCACGTGTGCGAAAAGGATTTTAGTCTTATTCTTCAAGGAACTCTCGATGAATTTTCATAGTAAGATTTCATCCACCTTCTATACTGTACTGTAATTTGTGGAATTAAATCAATCTCTTTACCTCCTCTCAAATTATCCACGGAACTTACAGTTGGTATTGTGTTTTAGTCTTAAAATTACAATAAAAAATGGAACTGCTTTTTAACCAGTTTCAGTTATCTTATTCATGAACGGTATTATCGTTCGTTTGATGGTACACTAGACCATGTTCTTCCGGTAATAAGCAGTATTCTTGGTGTCACTTCGAAGCAAGGTGAGTGTTGAATTCACGTGTTGTGTATTTGCATTACTCGTTCAATTCCTGCAGGTGTTCCCGAATGTGAGTTTAGTCCAGAGTTAATTCGAAAATATGCCGTTTTTCTATGTCAGACTTTGCGAATTGCTTGCATTGGAGCAAATGACGGTACGTAAAGTTTTCCTACTTCTTCGGCGATCTAATGTTAGACGGTTATTTTTATATGATGCCACAGGGTCCTTTGCTCATTCCGTATGTCTCTGTTTTGCGGCGTTAGCGCGCCGGATTGAAGTCGTCAAAGATGTTAGTATTCGACGTCGAGAGTTACATCTGCTTTCTCGCCAGGTGAAAGCATGGGTGATTGAGAGCAACTTCAGTACAGAGGAACTAGAGGTAATCCCTCGTACAGCTTTCCCAAAAAATGTGGCCTGGGTGTTCATGTGTATCTTGTGGTCCCGTCAATTATCCGATGACTCTAGCAAGTAGCAGTGAATGCTCTTCCTGCAGCAGAACTGTCTTTTGGAGTTCGCTTTCGCTGGGATACGAAAAACATCACTTCTGGTACAAAACTCTTCATTAGCACTGTTTTAAGCGGAATGCTTGCTGAACCTGCTGTTGTGTACAAGGATGGTTACTAGTAGCATTTCATTTTCTCTTAGCTTAGAATTGTGTGTGTTCATTGTGAAGGACTCATCTACTTCGCAAGCATTATTTTTCTACAAACTTTTGGTCGAGTTAACATAGAGAGCGCAGTATATTCGCGTACATCTCTAAATAAATGCTCTATTTTGCTTACATGTTTATTGAAGTATGAGTAAATTCAGCTCAGTAGAAGGGTATCCATTTCTTAACTCACCTGCGTGAAAGAACAAACCCGTAGTCGCTTTTGTTTCTGTTTCACTCCGTCCGTTAACTATGGAGGCGCTATGAGTTATGAGCAATGGGCTCGACAATGGTCTCGTATTGGAAACAAGAGAATTTTTCGCAAAAAATGATTTGTTCTAGAGTGCCCTTTGTCATTTGCTTCGACCTCGAGGTCTTACCCTTCATGCGAATACCGTGGGAGAATGGCCAGCAAAAGACATACTTGCTGCACTTCTTGGAAAGTCTTCTGCTAAAGTTAGGTATGTTACGGTTTCCAGTTTCTGACTGCCTATATTTTTTTTGAAATTTGTCTTCGTTTTCACATTAAAACTCACTAATTTAAATTTATGGAGCTGGACTGAATAATCTGTCCAGGTCGTCGTTGCAGTCCTAGTATTCTTTTAGTGATTTTCTCGAGCTAATTCCCGGAACAATATGTGGTGGGCTGGAAACTAATGGAATCGTGTTGAAACGCATTGGAGAACTTTGTTATCTCATTGACGCCAACCTAGAACGCTTCGTAGTGCAAGCACTGATTAGCACTTGGGATAATTTAGCAACAATATTGAAGAACTATATCAAAGAAGTAAGATTTCGAAATGCAATTATGAAAAGAATAGAAGTGTTTTTTTTTATTTCATTTTATTTTATACGACCTGTCTCCACATCTGTGTGGATCCCGGCACTTTTCACATTCGATTCGTTTCCTCGCATCCATCGTCCACTAAGGTCTTCCAGCTTGCGTGTGCGTTCGGCTTCTACTTGAAGATTTTCATTTCATCTTGGACGTCGTTGAATGCTACTCTAGTCGATTCTTCCTAGAGTCCTAAGATGGCCGGGCTAGAGGATTCCGAATTGAATTGTAGAGAGTGATTTTTTCCCAGATAAGTCCGGTGCTAATTTCCTGACCATATGAGGTGCCATAAGAGCCCTGACGAGCAAGGAGCGGCGTCAAACCGGCAACGTGCTCGCGATTATCTGCATTACTACCACTGTACTATCCTGCCCCTTGAAAATGAGCTTTAACTAGTTTTGTTTTATATGTTCTCACTTCAATGTGTTTCACGTTTAAATTCATGTCATGTAGTTTTAGAAATATTCTGAATTGCTATAATTTTTAGACCGACGACATTAATCAAGGGAGTGCTCTCAAATCCAACTTTTCTACAGTTTTCAACCTTCTAAGATTGCTTTTCCGAGCAGCCAACTCCGCGGACGAGGTTTATTACGAACTTTTGTTTGTAGTAATCATGTTTTCAAAAGTAATCACTCATTCAGGAAGTCGATATGGATTTAATAAAAAGGTGTTTATCCACTTTTAACGATCTTTATCTGGAGGTACAAAGCATTGTGAGACATGAAGTGGATAGCAGTGCTGAAACTGTATTGTTTGGTGTTTTTGGGAATACAGTTTTCCCAGAAACGGTGCGTTCTCAGAGTTCGTTTTTTGAGCATGGATGGACCATAAGTGAACTAGCAGAGAAGTATTTCACGTTAGACCCGTGTTTCAATTATTTCAGTCATTATATGGTGCATGTATAATCCGAGAACCACATCCAGTGAAAACAATTACAAAATTTTTTTATACTACCCATCTTTCACATCTATTGTGTGGAACTCAGCACTTCTTCCATTCAATTCGTTTTCTCACATCATCCACGAAACTCTCCAAACTTTTCATATGCGTGTGTTCAACTGCTACCTGACGATTTTCCCTTTCCATCAATGTCGTCGAATGCTGGTCACATTGATACTTGTCCTGAGATAGCTGGGCTAAAGCGCTGCCACTTGGATTGCAGAGAATGACTTTTCACCCAACCAATCTGCTATCAGTTTGCCGATCCCTGGGGTGAAAGGCTTGGTGAACACGGGGCAGCATGGAACTAGCACTGCACTCGTAATAACTGATATCACTACCGTAGTGTTACGCGTCACCTCATTTGCAAAATGATAGTCGTTTTTCAGTTATGCTGTGTTAATGTCTATATTAGCACTCTTCATAATGTCACAACCATCTACCCATTCAATTCAGTTCAAGAAAAGGTAATGTGTTCAGGTATGTGACAGAGGAAAAGGGTTAATATCTTTCTATAAACATGGGTACTTAAATGACCCATCTCCACGGAGAATCATCCAGTTTCCACTGTAGTTTCCGCTTGGGTTCTGATTTCCTAGCCAAGCAAGATGCGCTTTCTTTGAAGCCTTAAGATAGTCGTTCTAGGAAGACCACACATAGCCCATCTTAATTTAGTGTTCTTTTTTCAGGATTTCCGATAGAGTTTAATGCACTGGAAGACTTAGCGACTTTTGTTAAGGTGATGCAAATGGTGAGAGATAAACTAGAAAATGTGGCTCATTATGTCGAGGTTGTTTTTTGCCGAAATAGTTACTCCACAATAGCTAAGCCACCAATCTATTGTTTCAGGGTGAAAAAGCTTCACGTTTTTTATTGGTTAGTTATCTCTCCATTCTCAAAATATGCCAAAAGTTGTTTAATGGGATCGAAAAACCAAATCTGGTGAGATTTCATGCTTTCCTTGTTGTGGTTCTGTTTCGTTTTTTTTTTCTTTTTCTCCAAACCTCTTTTCCCATCAGATTCGTAGCATGTTCTTGACGCTTTCTGAACTCCTAAGCGTAATCCACACAAATGTTTTTGATGGAAAATTATGTGCGAAAGATATGCGGAAAAAAGCGACAACTGTTTTTACCAGTGTATGTTTTGCTCATTTCCATTAACATCTAGGTGATATCTGTTCAGCAACAACGTTATCTCTCTAGATTCTGGAGTCTGTGCAGAATAAAATTTCGGGACCATACGACAACGAGCTTCTATCTTGTTGCGAAGATTTATTCATAAGGTTGCTGAGTAAAAGTGTCGACATTCATCGAAAACTGTTTGTCACTGCTTGCAAACTCTGGATGAAGACTTTTGCTGAGGCGGCGTCACTGAAATACTCTACGAAGATGAAGTTTGCCTTTCTTATTACAATCTCTTCTTTATGTGGTATGTTCGTCTTGGCGTGAGGTTTCATTTTTTTAGCAGATTGTCTTTTCTAGGAATGTGCTGTTACCACTTGTTAATAAGCGAGTGATTCACGCCCCTGGTTTATCGAACCAGACGTACTTCATGGGTAAAATTGATAGCTACGGTGACGATGCATTGTCTGTCGTTGTACGTCCTGTCAAGTTTCGATATTTAACGTTTTATTTCTTCATGATTTCGAGAAAAAATTACGAAAAGAAAAGAATGACAAGGGTTCTTTCACGTACTTTTAAATAAGTAGACGATATTCACAACTGCATATCGCAAAGACTATACATTGGTAGTTTTTTAACAGCAGTAGAGTTAGGTGAGGTGCCATTGGGTAAAAAAGCATTTGAGTTCATTAGAGGACGGGTATTGTTCGAATCCTAATTGCTAAATATTTATTTCAGTATAACAAGCACTCATTCACTTCATGGAGAAGTTAAGAATTTTCAGTGACCTAGACTACTTTTATTTGCAGTCATATTCCGATTCTGCAGTACCCAACTTTTACGTTGCAAATTCGTTCAGTATAACCAATGAAGAAGGTAATCCAACGAACAAAATATGTGGATCTTTTGAGGACAACACGTTATCCCCGTCGCAAATTGGGAACAACCGGTGATTCAACCAAATTTTTTGCGAAGTTTCCTTTTTATTGGATTTCTAGGTGTATTTGCCTAGTATATGGATGGAAATTTGAGTACATGCGTACTTCATTAGGAATCGGTCTGACACTCAATGCAACAAAAGTCTGGTTTCCACCGAAATTGAAGCAACTGGAATGGTAGAAAGCTCAGTGGTATTGGCTGAGTCGACTTTTGTTAAGGTTAATATCAATAGAAATTTAGATCTTTTCAAATACAATGCCTTCATGACTTGCAGGGCGAAAGAGAGCGTGAGATGATGCCTCGTCGCAGATCAGAGCGAGTTAGAAAGCGAATAAACATGGGTTTACTCAACAACGATTCGGTAGAATACATTCTCATCAATTCAATGGAGTCTGCGAAAAAGATGAAGCAAACCAAAAGACAACATGAAATGTCCAGCGAGAAGAGGTTTTTTGGATTTCATATTCGTTATTCATATTTTATTAACCTGGTAAGTTAATTGCTCCGCGTTGCTTCTATAGGTGCACTTTTTGCATTTCATGCAGAAAGTGTATTTTGAATTGTTACACTTCTCTCTTATGTCATCTGGAGCAAAATGTTCAATGTTTTCACTACAATTTGCACTTTCACAATGAAGTTGTTCATTTACATTGAGGATGAGGTGCGGGAAGCTTTCAATAGTTTCTGAAAATTCGGAAATCCTTCGATGTTTAACAGCTATACGTGCACATAACTGAAGACATTGCATTTTCAGATATCTTATCTCTATCATTTGTAATATTTAAAGCAGTTAAAAATGTAGAACCGCAAACATTGGGCCACACATAACCCATTGCAGTTAACCGTTGCGCTTGAGTGATGACATTAGATGATTACTATACACAACAGAGGTTTTTCTTTCTATCTTGAATTATTAATTTCCATAGAAGAAACATGGTGCGTATGGGAAACCGCAGAAAAAGATTCCCATCTTGATTACGGTATCCGAATCCACTCTTCTCAACTATGTTTTGACATTCACTCTTACTTTCTTTTATAGACATTAGGTCTCAGACTTTGAGTTCAAAATTGTCTAGTTCGCTTTCCTCACCAGCACAATTAGTTGTGTGTAGCTCGAGTATAAGTATCTTTTGAAACAGTGAGTAGAGGAAGTTCTCTAAGCAAGAAGATGGAATGACGAGATCCTGGACTTCATACTAGGCACAAAACCTGGTCACCAGTTTTCTGTTCCGTAGCTAATATAGGCTTTGTGTTTAATTATCGTATATCGGTCTTCTTACTTTTCTCCTGGAACTTAGTGTTGCCTACAGTATATTATTGGGCAGCAGGGCGAACATGTGGGAATTTCTTGTATTGTAGCCGTCGAATAGAAGTCTTCATGGAATATGGTCGTCGTGCTGTTCCTATCCTTGTTCCATGATGCAACTCGATTTGACTGCCTCTTAAGATTGTATCACTAGTCCACGTCACGGACGGAAGTTTCTTGCGTGCTTTGTAATGTGATTGAAGTATTGACGGCTGAACGATTTTTTTCCTCGACTTCTTTGCTATGCATTCACCAAGTGGTAACCACGGGCTTTCCGCTTTCATGAATTGTAGGGAACTTTTCCACCTTGTGATTATGTTAATTCTAGTGCGAAGGCGATTCACGTCTTTGGTTTACTTATCAATGTCAAACCTTTCAAAGTTAAATGTCGAACTCTTGTGGGTTCTTCCCCTCTACTACTGTGAACCATATGTTCTTTGTCGTAGCTCGACACTCAACGATCTACTTTCCTGTCCTTAGAGCAACGATGAAGTAAAGCATCAGTATAACCGAATATGTGGAACATCAAAATATTGCTATTCTGCGCATTAATTTTAATATATACGCAAAAGACTTGGTATGAGTTGCATTTTACCCAAATTCTTGCGGCGCTGTCATTGAACAAGGAATACATGTATTTAATTTTGTGATAAGAGAGCTGTTGATTTGTAAAAATCACACAAAATATTTTAGACTATGGTTTCACTGCAACCCTTTCAGAGAACGAATGCCGTTTCTTGTCGAAAGTTCACACCAATCAGCCGTTGTTGCTCATTTAACGGAGGGATTCGACGCGATGTCATCGCAAGCGGCGTAAGTTCTCTCTCTCTCTCTCTCTCTTTCGAATGAAGGGAACTTATCTCTGTTCTTCATTTAGTGGATTGTGCCCTGATATTTGGAGTTATTTCTAGTGACTTACATGTGAATTTTAGCTCCACTAACACGGCGGAATCGCCCAGAACTAAAACTGCTGAAAATAAGACAAATGACAATTGTGTCGTAGTCGGAAATGAAGTCACTGGATCCCTTTCGTGTAATGCAGTACGGATTAAAGAGGGATTTGCGAAAGATGCAACCGATTCTAAAAGTCTCAGAAAACTACCAAAAGTAAAACTCAACTTTGATCAGGTAATCGGCCGCACAATGTCTTTGTAGTTAAAAAGTGCGTGCAAAGCGTGGTCTTCGGTTGAATAACTGGTACATATATAATTTTTTTTATTTATGTTAGAATACCCGTCAGTACACTTACTGTGACGGGTCCCAGGACTCCTTACATTCGATTGATTTTCCTCCCTCCCTCTCTCTCTTTCTCTCTCTCTATACTTATATATATATATACATACACGTATGTATATATGTATGTACGTATGTGTATATATTTATATATATACATATATATACGTGTGCATATACATATCTATGTATGGATATGAAATGACGATACCTTATAAGGGATCAAACGGATTGCTTCAAGGATAAAAGTTTTCTGTAACTAGATTTGTTTTAGAAAGGTATAACCTTCGTTTTATGTAACCAGTGGATTGAGGGTTCCGTCTTGTGTCGCTTTTTCTTTTGATAGTATCGATCTCTAGGTTGACAGAACTAGAGCTATGGTTGTGGCGGAAGTATGTGATAAAGAATCTAATCAGCACTTGTTTCTTGGCACTGACAATCAGAGTGTAGAAGAGGAAAATTCAGCTTGGTCACATCGTAAGGTAGGACTTTGGTGGATCTCACTTTGGTGTTTTTAAAAATAAAAATACACTATTGAAACATCCTTGGATTTCAGGAAGTGCCATCAAAATATGCGGGACGGAGAATTGCAAGTAAGAGTATTGAGAATATTATGCTGGAAACAACTCTAGAAGTTCAATCAGAATTAAGGCCATCCACTTCTGTTCGGGCTAGCGAGGTCATTTAATCTAACGTAGCTTCTAACTTCATTGAAATACCAATTCCTTGTCATGGCATTAATTAATTGATCTCAAATGAGCGTTGTGCACCTCATATCCGTTTCGTGCCAAGTGATCATTTGGATGAAGGAGAAAACTTTTAGGAGTTGGAGAAGTCAAAACTATTCATTGGAGATAGTTTTGCAGTCAGTTGCGATGATGTACTGGTTTTACACGAAATAGAAGACGTTCTGAATAGTAGCGATTCCTTGAACACAAGTATGGACACGGTTGATACTAGTGATGTAGACCTGGGTATTCAGCAAAGGATAGTGAAGGAGCGCAGTACTGCAGAGTGAATACAATTTTTCCAAGCTTTCCTTCGTTGTGTATCAGCCGAAACGTTTGATTTTAGGAAAGTGGGGAAAATGCTGACACCTACGACTGTTAAGAGAGTCATCGGTACTCCTGGTATATTGAAAAAAGCTAAAAGCCCATCTACTTCGGAGAAAAAGGTAATGACTTCTATGCAGGTGTTCTGTAAATGAAATCAGTGTAGTTATTCAAAACGTAATCGTGCTTGTTTTCAGCAACTGTTAGTACTGCAGGCATTCTACTGTTATCTCAACAAATTCAACCATTTTTCGGCTATGACAAAGAGTTTGTAGGGCTGTATCCTCTCATACTCTTTTTTTAAAAATTATCTTCGTATTGTTTTATGCGCTTCTTAGCGATTAACACGTTGGCGACTATGTTGGAAAGTAATTTGACTTTCGACTTTAGGCAATCTCAGCCTATATTGAATTTTACTTCACTAATTGAAATAAAAATGACTACATTTTTTTAATCATTGGCAACAGATTAGCAAGTTGTTGTAATCTATCACGATGCAGTTTTGATCATTCGGAGCCTAGAAAACGTAATCATTCTTTTTATTTTTTGTCATCGCTCACATATCGAACAGCGAAACCATTAAACAAATTGGATTCCGTCCAGCTGAACCCGTTATCTTGGGATGCGTCGTTGTTATTTAAGGATAGACTTGCGTTAAGAAATCCAGAAATTAAAGTTTTGTTCTCAATTTTATTTTACACATTTGAATTTCAAACTAATTTGAAATTGAAACAACGTTGTAGAAGGGCTATATTCATACTTGGAGGTGTAAGTTAAGGAATCTTCTTCAAAATCCAACTAGCTTTACATCTTCAAGCAGTCTAGAAATTATCGGCAATCGTCGAAAAATCTGCGTTGTTGTGAATGTGGTGATGAAGTTAATTTGTTTCTTTCTAGCTTCGAAGAGTCCATTTTGAGGACGAGTTTCCTGTGTCGCTTAAAACAATGTCAAAACAGCCCTCACCGAGAAAGCCATTTTCTCACTTGCTGCCGGTTATTGAAAAGGTACTTTTGCTTCTCGTACGAAGGAAATATCCCAATTTTGTTTGCAGAATTTTTTAAATGTGCGAAGTTATTTTGTAGTGAAGATGTTAACCGAGCATGATTGGAAGCGGTTTCACTTTTCTGTTTCAAATCTGTGAGACATAATAGCAAAAATTGTAATTGTAGTAATAACAGGAGTAATAAAAGTAATAATATTATCACGAGAACGATGATAGTTCGATCTCGCCCAGGCTCACTAAACCTCTCATCCGTCCGGGGTCAGGAAGTTCGTACCGGACTTGACCGGGGAAAAATGTCTCCTTGCAGTTCCGTTGGGAACACTCCAACAGGGCTATCTCAGGACTCCAGAAAGGATCGACTCAACCGGCATTCTACGACATTTAAGATGAAATGTATATCCTCAAGCAGTAGCCGAAGCCACACATAAAAGTTGGAACACCTTAATGGATTATGCTAGATTTTTCTGGTTTTAGGCATCAGTGGCTGATGAAAAAGAAGCACTGTTGATAACCCTGGGTGTAGTTGAAACGGATGTCCCCGGCAATGTTAATAGTGCTATGGATTTCACCTCTATCAATGAACAACATTCTACTATGGATGGTAGAAGTTTTTGTTGGCATCGTCTTCTCTGATACAAATGTTAATGATTTCATTATTTGTTAGAGGAGGTGCAAATGGATGGGACTACAATGAATCCTGATGGCCATAGTCAGCTAGAGTCAACGATGGATTCAGGAAACAACATGGAAATCGAGAACAAGGTGGATGAACCCACGGTAACTCAGGCTAATCGTGCACTAGTAATCGAGATGAAGCGGCGTTTTAAAGTTGGCGAGTTATTTTTTTTACTACATCCCGTAGAGAACTTATTCTTAAGTGTTTCATTTTCCGCTTTATTTTTCCATATTGAAGAATAAAACAATTTGAGTAATGACATTTATCAAGTTTCTGATCGTTGTATGTCCATCTATATATTCATCTGCTTTAATGTGCCGTATTTCATTAATAAGCTAATACGTGGTTATTATAAATCATCTATTCGACTAATGTTTCTTCATCTTCGTCTCCATGGGAGCCGATAATTCTGGTCGATGGTCCGCAGTCGTTTGCCTTCTCGATGTGGTGTCTTCGTTGTCGTATCGAGTCCGATCTTCTCCAGTGGAGCACCGCTCGAATGAGTCAACCTTATCCGCAGCTCTCTTCTATATAAGGCTGTTGTTTCATAATGACTACCCGTTTATAATAATCTGTTCATATAGTTCAGACAGTCATCTGGCTTATTTTATACTAGATTCTAAATTTATAATTTATGTCTTTCATGTTTTGATCAGTGAGTTTCTTTCTCTTGTTAGTTTTTCCTATTTTTCTCCTTTATATTCGTTTATTTTTGTTATAATCTATATTCTACACGTTTCTACGGGTTCGTTCTCTTATCTGTTAAAGTGTCATAACAACATAGGTTGGTTGGAAAGCACTGGTACAAAATTTCAGAAATTTCTTTCGCCATTGCTTAAGTCCGTCTCTAAATATGGCGCGTTTAAGTTGGACTAATTCGTTGAAGTTATTGGCATTTATCGTTTATTAGAAAGGATAAACATAAGCTCTGATGATACTAGTTTATAATCCAGTGCTGCTGACTACGGTTACCTTTTATAGTGGAGGAAATCATTAAAAAGGAGACGGCTGAAAAAGAGGGTGAAGAAAGTGTGGATGCTGTTCGGCTGCAACGTACTGTACGGAAAAGTATAAGATCTCTGGTTGATATCCTCGATTGGTGGGATAATGTGAATTCCACTTAATGCCTTGAGATGACTGTAGTTGGCTTCTATTCATGTAGTTCTAGTCTAGTAGTGACATTTTTGACATTAGTTATGGCTTTAAGGTTTGATCTATAGGACCGTTCGCGGACCATGCTTTATTTTTACCTATCGTGTGTCATAATGTTCCCTTCAAAATTAGATACAGAGGTATATTGGTGAAAAATGTTAATGTTTGTACTTTCCATTTTCTGTTGTCTTTAATGTTGATGTACTTCAATACCTTTAATCGAGATGTGGTGAAGTTATTACATTAATACGACTTAGTCTTTGTAGATAATTCTCAAGATGTCTAATAAAGGAGGCATTTATATGGTTCCTTAAAAGTGTTTTGTACTAACTCGAAAGACCGACTTTCTATGAACCTCGGCATAAATAGTTGATATATTTATTTATGTGATCTTATAAACTGATCGATGACGAGGTGACGCGAGGTTGGTACAGATCTTCGTTGTCGTTGTCGTTGTCGTTGTTTTTGATGTCATTGAACGATGGCTGACGTTTCGGCGACTTCGCCTTCCTCAGAGTCTGGACGTACTTTATGTTAGAATACTTTTTATTATTCGGTGGAAAAGAAGGTTAAAGTATTAATGAAGATCAAACTTTCAAATAGACGCCATATTGAGCAGAACGGTCACTCACCGTGATGCTATGTGCGGGACTGGCCGACACGTAGTTTACGCGAGCAAGACTCGCCCCGGGGTCAAAATATCATTTTGAAATAGGGCGCCAGGTCACGCGTGATAGTGAAGCATTCGTCCTTCCGGTTCATCTTTGGATTTTTTAAATTTATCCAAAACGCCTCAAGAGTTTTGCGCGTTGATGTTTTTGATTCCTGCGCTAGGATCCGCACATTCACTTCAAAATCATCGCCGTTGTGCTTTTGTGCCCTATGCGTACCTAGAGGGGTGTTTAAACGGATTTTAGCTTTCCCATCTAGATGTTCTTTTTTGTTTTGTACTAGCGGTTCAGGCAAACCCCATGCCCAAACCAAGTATTCAATTCCTCCACAGTCGAGAGATTAGTACCAGACCTATTTCGGAGAATAAAAACACTGACTGATAGACTGGCATACTCTTGGGTATTATACATAGACCACAAATTCTACAGTCATTTCGTATTCTTGTTGAGCAAATGTGAGGTGTTATTTTATTCTTTATTCACGAACAAGCTGACGTTTCGGCGAATTTCGCCTTCCTCAGTCTGGAAAAGTCAAGTTGACAGCAATCTATTCGGCCAAACACCATAACCAAACAGATAAAGCGGTAAACCAAGATTTCAATCACATTGAACACAGAGTCTTTGCACACTCACCGCTTTCTATGAATCTTCCACTGAGTATGTCACGTGGAAATCAGCCATAAAGAATTCACATGGAAGCATAATGTGCCCCTCCCATCAGAATAACAGGCTTATGTCCTTCCTGCGGTTCATTTTCGGATGTCTGGAATTAATCCAGAACGCCTCGAGAGTTTTGCGCGCTTATATTCTCGATTCCTATACGAGGATCGTGACACGTACTTCAAAGTCCTCCCATTATGTCTCTGGGTCCTATGCGTGCCTAGTGGGGTATTTGGTTTACGAGGTGTTCTTTTATGCTGACACAGAGTGGTCTACACATTTCACCAACGTATTTGTCTCCGCACGTCTTACAGGAGATCAGACTGTACCCGAACTCATGCAGTCACCGTCTCTACCATTAGCTCAAATTATACAATTTTGCGTTGCACATAGACGGTCATATAGGCGGTTGCGAGCTGGCTGGAGCCTAAGATTTCTCGATGGCATTTCAACTACGTTTACCGAATTCACTAGACCCGCCCTTCTGAAGAAGTTATTTAACGTCCAAAAATGAACTGCAAGGAAGATTGCCTCATTATCACGCGTGATATTGGGCTCTTTCCAGGCTCTGAGGAAGACGAAATCCGTCGAAACGTCAGCTTGTTCGTGAAAAAGAATAAAATAACTCCTCGCGTTTGCTCAACAAGATTACGAAGAATTACTTGATCAATGCCGAGTTTAACAAAAAGTCGGTCGTGGGGTCTACAGTCACTATTGTTTCTTTTCCATTGTATCCCTTATGCAGTCGTCTAATCTAGGAATCTGTTTTCTAGTCCACTATTTATATCAGTGCACATAGAAAGCCAAGCGAAGCACTTATCAACGAAGAAAATTTTATCAAGTGAAGGAACGGTTGCGTACATTTGGAACCTGTTCATTATGAATTAATATCTAAAAAAACGATAGGGTGATGTCAGTCATGTTGCAGATATATTAGGACTTCCCGGAATTCCAAATAGATCACACACTATGTAACTGCTCCAATCTATAGATGGTCGAGTGACTCGAGCGATCCCCAGTAGCGTTTCCATTTTTCCTTATCTCGGCAAACAGTATCCCAACGAGTTCTGTGCACTCTAAAGACTCGTTGGCATCACATCTTTCTTCTAGGGTTTTCGTGATCAACTCTGACCACCGTATTAGAGCTAATCCTGTGCGTTTGACATCCTAAGTAACCCAGCCGTCAACGGTTCTCGTCTATCGGTTGTCATTCATACGCATTACGTGTCCTCCACTGTTTGGCGTACAGAACGGCATCCTTGATTTTTAATCGTTGACGAAGGTGGGATGAATTTTCTCATCTCAATTGTGCTATCCAAGTTTCTATCAGTCGATTGAGCGTTCGATAACGTGGAGTGATTCTGCTTACACAACAAGTGCCATAGCACTCGCTGTCCACATCTATCAGCGCTTCGATCTTAAGTGAGTTTAGAGCCTTCCCCATGTCGATGAGCGTGAGGCTATGGGGAAGTAAAAACGTTTTTTCTTACACAAACACTTAAGTCCTTCATCTAGTGTCTCCTCAATCCTGTTGATGTTGGCTCGAGTGAAGTGCTTATAGATAACAAACAAAAGTCAAATTAGACTACTGTTGTCGATATCCCAGATGTCTATCTTTTCTGTGCCAACGCGCTTTGTTTACGTTAATTTAAACAGAGTAAGAATTTACGAATGAATTCTATTTTAGTGGCATTTTTTATTATGATTCGATCCAATGTCGCAGACTAATTGGGATAAAAATTACATCAAAGCAATGCTGCTCCTCCATTTCTAAGCAAAGTGGGAATTCTTAAAATTCAATTCACTCCGGGTTCGGACCATGTTCTTGAGGAGAAAATCCTAGCCACAATAAATAATGAATTAGATATACACTCCTTCAATTTCGACGACGTTATAGGCCTATCGAATATGTCTAGCGAATATAATAGAAAACTAAACAAAAGAGCTCAGTGAGACTTGAAATGCAATGCGTGTGATTTAACCTTTGTTAAAAACCTCGAAGGAAATTCACCTCTTCCCACACACAACGCTCCAATGCGAAGCATGGGTCAGGTTGACTTCTGAGAATCGTAGACACTGGCCATCACCTCACAGCCAGCACAATTCGGTAGATGGAGCAAAAAATAATTAGATGGGAAGCCCTGCATGATTTTGGAACTGCTGACGAAATCCTTCCCTTAACAGAAATCGCTGGTCAGGCAGTAGCACAGACGATAAACGGTCCATGGGAAAGAGATCAGTTGATGATGACCTATCAAACAATCCATGGAATTTCTCTGAATGTCAGCAACGTACAAGTCAGCTGAAAGCGGTACATTAGGTTTCACAACTATTCGTGAACACAGACTATTCAACTTGTGGGATACAACTCTGCTCTAAGGCTGCTTTCTCAATTTAGTGTTCAAGGCTGCGAATCTCGATTATTTCCCAAGCTTTGATGTTGAAAACGGTTTCATATTGTTACAGTATTGTATCTAAACCGCTTTTCAAAGGTTATTTCCTTCTATTTTGTTATACTTATTCAGGGACTTAATTGTTTTGGAGTATAACCATAATGGCGCTGAGATATTTACAAATTCACATAATACCTTGCCATTAAAAAAAAGAATAAGCAGTAAATAAAAAAACGGCTACACTGTGTTTTGGAATATTTTATTCTTTTCTCCCAAACAGAAAGAACCTTTTAGCTTATTATTTGTGTGTCTCTTTGTAGTCTTTTCATAAGTTGGTCTTCTTAATGGGCAGCTTACTATTTCTTGTAGCTTTCAAAAATTAATCTTTATCATCTCTGGCCGTTGTTACAGATATCAACCTCTTCTATACGTGACGATAGTTCGATTGATAAAAGAGTTGAAAGCAGTGAATCAGAGCTGGGCGAACAAGATGAGCATGCGAGGGATGTTCAAGACTCCAATGTCTGGGGCAAAGACGTTATATATAGCATTATGCAAGAAAACGAATTCTGACTAGTACTTCTTTCTAGATCTGATATCACTGATAGAGATGACGACCTATTGTCGTGTACAACACTGTTTGTTGTGGATATGGTGAATATGTCAATTGATAATGCTCAGAAAAATTTCTTTTTACTATTATGACCTCTTTTCACGTCTACTCTGCGAATCCCAGCACCTCTCACATTCGACACCTTTCGTGGCATCCATTATCCAGGAAGATCTTCCACTTTAGGTGTGGCTTCGGTTGCTGCTTGAGGATTTTCATTTCATCTTGAATATCGTATAATGCTGGTCGAGCAACCGGGCAGGAGCGTTCCCAATTGGATTGCAGAGTGTTTTCCTCCCAGACAAGTCCAGTACCAATTTCCTGACCGCGGAGGGATGAGGAGTTTGGTTGGCGCGGAGCGGAATCCAACTAGCACCATGCTCGTGATGACGGACATCACTATCACGGTGCTATCCGCCTCTGCTCAGAATGTTACACGACGTATGTTAGTAACATGCTCTACAGGGAGCCTGCCTTCAATCCGCCAACACATTGGCCGTAGCAAAAGTCTAGATTGTTTTAATTTTGGAATGGGGGTATCCTTCTGGTTCTCCTTAACCAACACTGATCTGATAATCTTTCAGTTGTTTTTCTAACATACTAGAGATCGTTAGATAATTGCACGATTTATCCAGGACTTTTTCGACAGATCGAAAAGAAACGGAGATAATTCGTTCTTCTATCAATACATCAGGATATAATCTATTCTTTATCGCTGGTTTGTGCGTGAATTTTCGTTAGGTACTTTCTATGTTATAGGTTTTATCAGAGTGACTGAGGATGGCGACTAGTGATTTGAGGAGTGATTTACAACTACTTTGATGATCTCTTTCATATGTGTAGGTGTGGACACATTTAGCATTCCTAGCGTTGCTATTCCACTTGTTGACCTTTCCTAGGATTAGCAGAGCAACTAGAGGTGAATATTTGGCGTGATCTGATAGAAACATTAATCGAAGGACAGTTCTTGGTTCACGATAATTTCTCATGAGCAGAGTTTTTTATAGTGTTAAGCTTTTCCAAACCAGATTTGGTTTGTGTTTCTTGTCGTGCTGTGAGCTCTGCTGATAATCTTCCAAAGAATATGGGTTAAAAAGTCAAATCACTAAATTGGGGCGCATGAATAACGTACTTGTGGTACTATTGAAATCTGTAGGACTGCTTCTATGATAAAACGATGAGTTTTCGGCCCAGTGTTTAAATAAGAATATGTTTCCAAAATACCCTGATCTTAGAAAATTTTGGTTAGCTAAGTTGATTGAGTAGAGGTCTTGCAAATGTTTACCTTGTTTCCAATGGGATTGAAGTCATAATTTCACTTTTTTTATTTGGGTAATGGAGGTGTTTGGCTCAGTAGATTGCAGTCAACTTAACTTTTCTAGCCTCTGAAGAACGCGAAATCCTCCGAAACGTCAGCGTTTTTGGTAAACGGAGAAATACAGTAACGACTTCATTCCTAAACCACAGACACGTATCCGTTCACTGAATACAGCCTTCCATCTTAATAACATCAACTAAAGGATTCGATTTTGGTCCTCCGTTTAATCCGTTATGCCCCATATTCAGACGAAGAGCTACTTACTCTAAGCGCCAACTTAATGCTCATCTCTCGGTGAAAAAGTTGCATTTGATGGATGGCGCGCTCACCACTTGCACCCGATTCGTTCCTCATACCCATTATCCACGATCGTCATCAGATTTCGGTGTCGATCCGGCTCTTAATCGAGGACTTTCTTCATTCTCCATGTGTCTTTCAATAATGGTCGATTTGATTTCTGTTGAAATCTCGGAAAAACTATGGTTTTCATATTCATCAGAGGTGCAATCAGCTTTTCAAATCACAGTGAGTGAGCCGATTCCAGGCACACCTGGTGCGAATTTCCGGACACCAGAGGAATACTGCCCGGCTTGCCCTGGGCTCGACCGAGCTAGAGTTTCGCTTATATCGGGCGGCATCCCTAAGATTGCGCTACCCATGCTTTGGTAATACATACAGTACGAAGATTTTGAACGGCAGTTCTTCGTACACGATCTTTTTTGATGGTCTTCCAACTCCTTACTGAGTTCACACCGTTGATTGTATTCATTCGCGAATATTCTGCAGTACATACTAATCAAATGACTTGCAGATTCCGTAAACTTCAAGACCTTTCTCACGAATACTTGGCAAGCGGGATTGGGCATAAAGTCAGAAGTTTTTAATGTGAGCTAAGCAGATGCGGCATTCTTACGTAGTGCATACATAAGTGCTCCGTCAATGGACCTATGACCTTCGACTGTTTCTTTTTCAGCACACCAGTTGTTCAGCAATGAAAACGCTTCACCTTCTTCCTTTGATATATTGTTGAAAATACATTCGAAGGGTATGGCATGCATTGACAATACATGGCAAGATGACACAGTATAACAGAAATGTTGCATTTTTATTGAAGGTTTTCTATTCCCGTCAAAAAAAAAGAACAAGAACAAAAACATTATCCAGATCCGCTCAACATGTGATGCACATTTTAGACGAAGAGAAACAAAACATAGAGAGTGATTATGATGCGAAGTCGAAGCCGAACACTAGTACTGAAGTGTTCGATGACATCATCCACAGATACGGAATGTTACAGGCTTCGATTTAGCTCGGAAGTACACTGAAGCGTTCGTCGTAGGCAGTTTTGTTCAGTAAGCGAGAATAACATAACATGCATATATGATTCCAGGAATATAGCCGAGTATCGTGAGTAGGATGCAAATCGCCAAATGATACGTACAACCCTTCTCGAAGAATACACCGAGTGGCTGGAAACGTTTGCCATCAAACTGAGCCTTACCAAAAACTGAGTTAAACTCAAACTGAATTCAAAATTCCATTAAAGAAAAGCACATTTCTATATAGTGCGATACATGGCAGTGTAGGTATCAGTTTTGTTCGAAAGATAAATAATTATCAAGCTTTTAACGTTGATAAACCCTTTACATATGCTCCATGCATTCGACTCCATTAATTGAATGCATATTTGCCCAATACAGTGGCATACGGTGACCTAACGAGGTATCAAATCAGTGTTTTTATCCTCTCAGACATGTCTCATTCCATTTTCAATGCCGCAGAAATGACAAGCTTGGTAAGGCTGTGGTCCGGGATTGAACCAAAGACGGACCACATGTCTACCGCAGGTTGTCTCTAACTAATCCATTACACGTGCTCATCAGTTAAGTAGATTTGAAAAGTTGGCAAATTACCTGCGACAAAATAATCTCTCTGTCTAGAATATTTTTGTTGCCGTCTTTCTCACTCGAATTCTCATTGCTACTGACTTCGTCGATTTTGATGTTTAGGTATGAAACATCGTAAAATTGCAGGAATTGCATCTTCATATGTTGAACATGAGAACTAATGTAAAGCTACTGATGGGAATTGCAACATTATTTCGAAAACCGACCTTCCTTTAACCTCGGCATAACCAAACAATATGCATTCTTTCATTGGAATGCTAATATGAGGCTCATTGTTGCCAACGGACAATCGCTATCCTTGACAACCGTCCTGCATAAAAGAGTATCGCTATGTGAAGTTACCTCGCTTAACCGGTGCTCCACTAAAGAAGGACAAACTTAGCAGGACAGCGAACACACCACATCGAGATTACGAAGGACTGTGGACCATCGTCCCAATTCATCAGCCGATGAAACTCTAAGGAAGACGAAAACGTGGAAACATTAGCCGGATAAAGTTATTTATCAATCTTCTGTTAGCTTATCTATGAAAAAATACATATCAACACTGTACTTGTTTGAGACTCAAACTGAACGAAACCATATTACCCAATATTCATGAAACCGATTTTCCACATATATTACCATATTTGCAAAATTTGCGATATGTTATGCATTAAAGAGTGCTAGCGAAAACTCGCAAAGTCGAAGGAGCGATAGCCGTAAAGACAGTGTTAGAAAGGCTGGGCAAAAAACTTGTTGATAGTGTATATAACCGAATGGATGCCGCATCGTTTAGAAATTGATCGACGGCGGACGCTTGGCTTCTTATCCTTTGTAGAAAATAGTTTGCTAATCCTTTCCTGATTTTCCATAGTCTATACAAATGTCGATTTGAAATTTGTTAACCTAAAGGCGGGTTCCATAGTGGTAGGGATGCCGTTGAACACACACAAGGCACCAGTTCGACCTTGCCAAGGCCAACCATGGTTTCCATACTTTTAGGACTGAAGATTTGTATAAAACTTCTCTGGCTTGCTTTCCAATGCTTCCAGGTAAAATCGCCTGGACAACAACTGAACGACATTCGTAAAAAAGGTTAAAAGTCTTCAAGAAGCAGAATCTTAAAAGCGAATCTTAAAAGCCTATACGAATAACCGAGAACTTTCGTCGATGATATGCACTAGGAAATAAATCGAAAGCAAGAAGCGCTGGAATCAGCACAATGTGTAAAGTCCATATAAATGTTTCTTCACAGTCTCTCTAAGTCCATTCTTAACAGATTTTCCATACCTAGGTGTGTTATACTGTGGGTACGCAACCACCACTAACAGCTCTCATACAAATGTGTGCTGCCGTTCAGATATTAAGCACTTTTGTCTAATGTTTTTCCTCCTTTCCTGAATGGGCCAACATCGAGCGTCTGTTGCTATAGAGAAATCGTCTCTTCTATTTGATTAATGTGCAATTTCCACAGAAATTCAACATTTGTCTCTGCCGCGTAAATAGAGAACGAAGTGCACTATAATCGTTCATTGTTAAGCAATCCGACTTTTATCATAAAAGGAATGTCGCTGTACGTTTCCCTTGTGTGGAAGCTAAGTTTCGTCTTCACTGACCATCAATCTGTATCAAAGAAAAACAAACTAGGTTTAAATTTTCGGCTAAAATAAAACCGACATTAATGTAGTAATAATGGTTTTACCGTCTTCTAAAGCGTAATACATCTAAAGCACAAGCTACATTAGCTCAAAGCTTACATGCATTCAAACCTAAGATATGTTTAAAAAAACTTTCAAAGACAAAAATTTTCAACGTCTTCTGACTTCTGACGTGGTGTACGCCGTAGTAAGCGAGACCACTATTCATTGTTTTCGTTATTATTCTACTTTGTTAGAAGAGAGGTGCATGGAACAGCTGATAATAGTGCCAAGTTCCACAGGACGGATTGTCTAGGTAAAACAAATTGTTATCACCGGACAATCACTATTGTCAACAACCAGCATCCTGTATAAAACAGTGTCGCCAGTTGAGTATTCCTCATTCGAGAGATGCTCTAGTGATGATGATCCGACTCGATACAAAGACGGGGATGCCACATTTTCCCTATCCTTTTTCTATGGAACAATTCCTCAAAATTCCAGTAGTTTTGCCTCCCACGTCCGTCTTAACCTTTTGCTCGTATTCATTCGTTAGATAGGTCGTAATTAACTATTGTGTCATGCAAGATAATTATGTTACTGGTGGTCTCTCACAATTACGAAAGTCGATATGGAGGAGTGGAGTCGGAGTGAAAACACTGGTGAGCAACAATAAGCTGACGCGAGACGTTTGAGAAGACCATCAGTTTTCCTTCTGATGCGGAACAGAAAAATATTTGAGCAAACCTTTTCGTCACATTTAGCGCTTCACAAAAAAATATTTACCTCTGTAAGCACTGGGATGACTCATCCTCATAAACTACCGTGAGAATCTCAATACGCTCTCCAGTGAACTAGTATGTCGCTAATCTGGGAGGTTTTCTCTCCTAGAGTCTCTATAAGCCTGTGCTACGACGCTTCCAGGTCATGGCCACAACCAATTGCTGTCCTTCACGGATCGAACGGAGATTGGTCACCTTACGATTAGGCTTTTGAGAGGATCGTAAGAATTTAAGGCATTGGTTTACCCTCAACTAGGCTTCTGGATTAAAATGTGAGTGTTTTCAGCCTGGGTATTTGCAATGCTATGAACTCACGGTGTATTTATAGCATAAACACACAGAAAAGACACTTAATCATAGCTGGATTACCTGTTGGGTGGGACATGATGCTTTCGAACATTGACTCCTAGACAATAGTACCCTATTTTTATCCGAAATTCTCGCAGATTTTTACTCCTTCATTTGCTTCATGTTTATTTATCATTCATATGATCTGATTTTATGTCTTGTGGAGATAACAGGACTTCTTTCATTCAATTTACTGGCCTATGTCTGCCAACTATGAGAGCGCACAGATTTTTCCGTGGGTTAAGCCTCTGTTCGATGATTTCGTCTCGTTTAGGAATGTTGCTGAATACTACTCGAGTTGATTCTTTCCAAAATCATGTGTTAGCTCTGCCAGAGCGTAGCCTGGTCTTTAACACAAGTAATCAGCGATCTTTTGGATCCGAAGGAGCGTTTCTCAGATAACCTTAGTACTAAACTGCCGAGTTCAGAGGGATTCGAACCATGGTTGGCCTGGGCAGGACCGTACCAGCTGGCGAAGCACATATATTTCATGGCATTTGTTTGAGGTTCTTATGAACCGTATCACAATTGGTAAGGAACCAGAAACTTCCGAATGAACGTTGTGAATTTTTAGATAGTAGTGACGCGTTATAAAAAGAGACAGTCATCGTTCGACAACACACAATGTAGAAGCTGCTGAATGAGCCAAATTTCCGGACTCTATGTCAACGAGCACTACCGTACCATCACACACCAGCAGCTGTTTAAATATTGTCCAAATGCACTAGCAGCAGTTTAAATATTGTCCAAATACCTACTTTTAGATATGGGATGGTAGTATAAAATTCTAAATTAATGAAGAAATTCTTAATTTTGTATAAAAATCACTTACCGGAAGAAGTACAGCGCATAAGAATTTCGGAATATCAGAACAGGTAAGTGCCATATCTTAACATCGAAAATCAATACACGAAGTAGAAAAGAAACATAAGATATCGATTAAACATGAAAAGAACAAGCAACACTACGAAACAACTAAAATCAATAAGTAACAACAGCAACAAAGTTGATGATTACTTGATGTGTACCTTAAGATATATTATTAACATTGCTAATATCAATTAAGGAGATCACTTGGCAGAAGTGAAACCGCTCTCCTCCCTATGAAAAAAATTTGGAACGGTAATAAAAATAGAATAATGACGGAATGTCGAGCAGTTGCTTATCTTGAATCGATTTCCTACTAATTTTCCTATTGATGTCGCGATATTAAATAGTCAACTAAACTCGTTGTAAAGTGAAATGGAAATGCCGACTGTAGCCAATACTTATTAGAAACAACTGGCTCTACTTTTAATATAAGAGAAAACTAAGGGAACAGGAATAATAGAAGATTGCTGACGTTCACTGCACTCGCTCAGCTGATCAGGGTCGCCAAAGCGGCAGCGATACGTCGATACGAGTGCAGGCGTGGTTGACAGTGTCGTTTTGAGGTCAACGAAAAACAAAGAAAAAAAAACAAGAGACAATTTATTGTGAGTCGTATTTGCCTCATAATGTCCGGAATACGTTAACGTTTTGTAAAAGAATGTTCTGAAGCTTCGAGATGTTTCCAGTCATATTTCTAGACAATACCTAGTCTCTAGAAAAAGAAAACAAGATGCGGAAAATTTGAAACAACTGTTCGTGGGAGGTATGGCGCAATGCAAAGGAGACGAAACGCGAGCAAAGTGGTCGATAGTTGATTCAGAGAACTCGCAGCGGCTACGATGGATATCACAGCACTACGTCTTCGTTTAAGTGTGTGTGGGTAGATTTGTCGACGAATGAAAAAGTGACTCATTTGTCGGTTGAGAACGTTACGAATCACCGTCGGACGACGTTCACATTCATTCAATGTGAATAGGATCGGAATTAACTGCAAACACACGGCGCATATGATTGGAATTGATCAGCGCCACTAATTTTATGCATGAATGAATGAACGAATCCGATGAAATGTTAAGAAGACGGAGTAATCGTAGTCTTTTAATGCAAGTTATTAAGTCAACTTAATGAAAGTCCCATTCAGCAGTCGCTGTCATTAAGTGTCATTAGGTGTTCGCGTCAATTTTTGAAATCATTATATCCAGACTTCTGCCATATGAGTGATTACGGTAACCGACCAACAAAGCTAATCTGTAGAAAAGTTCAACACCAGTGAAAGGGATGAAAGGACACAGCTCTCGGTGTTGATCAATCGTTGAGGGATGCAGCATGTATTCCACTTCATAAAGTATCGTTAGAGGTAATTGAATGCTGGCACTGTATAAGCCAGAACTAGTAAACTACCTTTTATATATTAGAACTATAAAGGCAAGTAGACCTAATGGAACGTAATCATTCTTTCCACAACTAGTTTCGTGCAAATCGAAGACATCTTACAAGAACCGTTGTGACCTTGTCGTGAATGAAGTGAAACATCATTAAATTCTTCAAATATATAAATTAAACCCTATGCATTACTGTACTTATTCTTGGGAACCAGGAACTATTTGGCTTACTTTTAGACCCGTCTGGATGTTATCTAATGAAATGAGACCTATAATGGATTAAGAAGCCGATCAACTCTCTAATGATAAGTGCAGAAGTAAAATTATTACACATGAAACTTCACATCATAACGCGCTGATTAGCTTTCCAAAAAAAAGGAAAATCAGTGTTTGAAATTCTGGC